ACTGTGACCCCTTGCTGTTGCGTCCCATCTCTGGAACATCCTGTCTCTGTCCACCTTATCTATACCTCTCAGCATTTTATATGTCATTATCATATCCCCCCTAACTCTCCTGTCTTCCAGTGTCGTCAGGTCGATTTCTCTTAACCTCTCCTCTTAGGATATACCTCTTAGCTCCGGGACTAGTCTTGCTGCAAACCTTTGCACTTTCTCTAGTCTCCTTACATGCTTGGCTAGGTGAGGGTTCCAAACTGGTACTGCATATTCCAATATGGGTCTAACGTACACAGTGTACAGGGCCCTGAATGACTCCTTATTCAGATGTCGGAATGCTGCTCTTAGGTTTGCCAGGCGCCCATATGCTGCAGCAGTTATTTGGTTGATGTGCACCTCAGGAGATGTTCCCGGTATTATACTCACAACAAGATCCTTTTCCTTGAGTGAGGTTTGTAGTCTCTGGCCACCTAGATTGTACTCCGTCTGTGATCTTCCCCAGTCTTCATGACTTTGCTCTTGGTGGGGTTGAACTCCAGAAGCCAGTTTCTAGACCAGTTTCTAGACCAGACTATCATCTGCAAACAGGGACACTTCGGAGTCTATTCCTTCCGTCATGTTCACAAATACCAGAAACAGCACCGGTCCTAGGACTGATCCTTGTGGCACCCCGCTCGTTACCGGCGCCCACTCTGACTCTTCGCCACGTACCATGACTCGCTGTTGTCTTGTTGACAGGTATTCCCTGATCCACTGTAGTGCCTTCCCTGTTATCCCTGCCTGGTCCTCCAGCTTCCGCGCTAATCTCTTGTGTGGAAGTGTGTCAAACGCCTTTTTACAGTCCAAGAAAATGCAATCTACCCACACCTCTCTCTCTTGTCTTACTGCCGTCACCCTGTCATAGAACTCCAGTAGGTTTGTGACACAGGATTTCCCGTCCCTGAAACCGTGCTGGCTGTCGTTGATAAGCTCATTCCTTTCTAGGTGTTCCACCAATCTTCTGATAATTTTCTCCATGACCTTGCTTACTATACACGTCAGTGACACTGGTCTATAGTTTAAGCGAGCTAGACACCTCAAAGGCGATAGGGCCGGGCAACATCTCTCCATGGGTCCTGACAGAGGGAGCAGAGGCCCTTTTGTGTAAAACTAACAACTATCTTCAACACATCTATCGAAACAGGACGACTGCCGAAGTATGGAAGACAGCAAATGTAGTCCCAATTTTTACACAAAGGAGACAGACACGAAGCATTAACAGCCTCTTCACTTATTCCTTTGTTATATGCATTGCGTCCAACACTTGATGGTGTACCCCACGTCTATGTCTTTATGGAGGCCCTTCTGTCTCCTCTGTGTGTGTTTGTTTGTTCTCACCTAATTGTGGTTGCAGGGGTCGGTTCATAGCTCCTGGCCCCGCCTCTTCACTGGTCGCTACTAGGTCACTCTCCGTGCTAGATTAGTTTTATCATACCTCTTCTTAAACTATGTATGGATCCTGCCTCCACTACGTCACTTTCCAGACAATTCCATTTCCTAACAACCCTATGACTTCATAACATCCCTATGACTCATCTGATTCTTCAACTTTCAATTGTGACTCCTTGTTGCTGTGTCCCATCTCTGGAACATCCTGTCTCTGTCCACCTTGTAGATTCCTCTCAGTATTTTATATGTCGTTATCATATGTCTCCTATCTCTTCTGTCATCCA